TGTGACATACATGCCCCTAATTACAATTGTATCGTACTCTGTAAGTAAAGTTGTATTGAACTCCTTTACTAATTATAGCTACACTGGTTCAATTCTTTTAACTTGAAAAGAGTAAGCTTTGGGAAGTTCAGTAATACAAAACTACCAAGTGATACTTAAGGAAAATGCAGAAAACGGGCAAACATAAAACTTCCTTATTGATCTAGACGTTTACATGTTTTTGGGATGAGATGAGGTTCCACTGATATTTCTTCGAATAAAAGACATGAAGATTATAGTTTTGAGGAAAACGTTCAACGAACCAGTTTCAGGAGATCAAAATCGGGAATCCAGTGTGTTCCCACAAAACTAGTGAAAAAGTACATGTCTTTTTTTAACATTAATAGTTTAAAACATATTTTTAAAACCATGGTTAAACCCTCCAACTTAACACCAATATGCATTTCCCCATAACTGCATCTATAAGGACTTACCCTAGGCCCATTGGGCCTAGATGCTAATCTAAGGGAAACACCTTGGGTCCATAAGGTCTTATTCTTGCTGAAGAATAGGTGTCCACCTGAGGGGAGTACTCTCAAGTCCATAAGGAGTTACCCAAACCACATAGCAGAGGTGCCACACTAAAGGAATTGGCACTCTCAAGTCCATAAGGACTTACCCAAAGTATATAGCAGAGGTGCCACACTAAAGGAGTTCCTTAGGGTCCATAAGGTCTTACCACTATGCCCATTAGGCCTAGGAGCCCACCCAAGGGTCCTTAGATCCGTAAGGAATTACCAGTTCAATCGGTCTGAACCTATATAAGGAATTACCAGTTTGATCGAGTTGAACCTGTCGTAGCGAATTACCAGTTCAATCGGTCTGAACCTATATAAGGAATAACCAGTTTGATCGAGCTGAACCTGTAGAGACTTCATACTATATCCCAGAGTACCCCGGAGAAAAACATTTTTCACACAGCAACTAGTGGTAGCAGCAAATCAGAGTTGAGACATATCAATTTAGTAGAAACGGTATCCAGAGATCATGAATCAGACATGCAAACTTAAAACTTCAGTAACTCATAAATCTCGGTAAAACACATTAGAGAACAGATAAAACAATCATATAACATATAGGGAACACACTAGAGGATTCAATTATTTTCTGAAGGTACTTGATATTTATCAGATAGGGAGCCATGAAACTTCTATAAACTAATTAAATTCATAAACAAGATCCCTATAATAGGGTTTGATAGCTGACGGTTTCATCAGTTATTCAGGACACGATTCATCAAGATCACATGGTATTCTGATATTTTTTCAAAGGCATTATGTAATCATAAAGGTATTCAGAATCTTTTGAATTAGAGTTACTTGTGATTTCAGATATGACAGGAGTGATTTCATTATTCAGGAAATTAGGGGCATTTTGGATATTAGGTTCTTCGAGAATTCTTAGTAATTTGATCTAATGAGGGAGAAACGATGATTCATGGTATTTAATATTCATGTTGATTTATCAGGATATCGAGTTAACTCGAACAAAACAACTCCCAACACTGTGATACTTGTCAACTGGTCAAATCGTTGCAGTTCAAAGGTATTCACACTTTAATACTGACAACTCTTGTCGAACTAATCATCTTTAGAATCATCACTAAATGGATCTTAGGGAGAGGAATAGGTATTCCAATGGTATTTATTTTATTTCTGTATTGCAATGATATCAAGAAATGTTGTTTTGTTTGAATTGTGGTTTAAAACCCTTATAGATAGTACATCATATAAGATCATCAGCGCTTCTAGACTTATCCAAGTTATTCGCTTAATTCTAGGTCTTTGAGAGTACTTAGGTCATTTAGTAGTCAAGTTATCCCGATAACTTCGGAGTTTCCAGAGTAATTCAATCGTTTCCACAATTCAGAAACCTATAATACTTCCATTTAGTTCAACTTGGTCATATAATATAGTCATTTTATACTTCAAGGGTATTTTGGTCATTTTACACTTTAGGGGCAATTTTGAGATTTCATAATCAGATAATTTCGGTGTTAAAGTTTTTTAATGAGGATAAATAAAATTTAGAGATTTCGAGGTTATTTGCTTTTATGGATAATCGCTGAACTTGAAACCATTCTTATCAGTCTTCTTGTGTTTATACAGGTAGTCTGAGCTTTATTTAGTTTAATTTATTTTATTACGCAATCGGGTCGAATTTAGAAATTTATTAATCATACACATGTAACTAAACTTATTTATCTATGCGTCAACCAATGCTCGCATGTTCCATAAAGCATACATAAGTAGTAATGTATTACCTCTATTTTGGTTCTCCACCGATCGAACATTTAAACTCCATTCGATCACTCTCAAACTTGAATTCAACGTCTAATAATTTCTTGGAAGCACAACAAACGAATTTACGTCAGAAACTAAACTTAATCGGGAAACCAAATTTGATTCCAAAGATAAATCATTGAAAAACAGCTTACCAAGTGCGAATTTTGCAAAACAAACTTTGGATTCAAACTCAAGACATCGAAAAACATAAAATATGACTTTTTGGAAAATTTGACTTTTTTGGTCAAAGTCAACTGTCAACGGGTCGGGTCAGGTCGGTTGTCTCGATTCGAGTCGAGTTGCCTCGGTTCAGACCGGGTTGGGCTGGTTCGGATCGATCCAGACCGACTGGACCGGTTCTAGAAGAAACCAGAGCTGGGGGACAATCCCCATGCGCACTGCTGGCGCGTGGTGGCGTGTGCGACGGCGACAAGGGCAATTCTGGTTGTTGATTACTCCAAACGAAAAATAAACACAATAATTAGTCTAGATCGGTGTGAAATACGAGTCAAAATAGCATAAATTAAACGAGAAAGGAAGTCAGCATGTTTACCACGGCGGACGACGAATGGGCGATAGTGGAGCGACGATTCTACTTGGGTTCTGATTGGAAATACAAGGGGATATCAACCGTGGTGGTGGTGAGGTGAACAGTCGGGCTAATTGGTCGGGCTAATCGACCGGAATCGACGAAAAGTTGAACGGCGGGGAAAGGTTTTTGACGAACTTCTTCGACTTAAATCCCGACGATCGATGGTCGGTCTCAGTGAGGAATAAGAGGGGTTTTGATCTTCTGTCGACCGCGAACACAATGATGGTGGTGGCGGGTTAAATGATGGCCGGACGGTCGAGAATCGGGGCGATAAAGGTGTCAATGGGGCTAGGATTTGGGGTTTGGGGAAATTGGGGATTTTAGGGAAATTGGGGGAGTTAACCCGGTTTTAACTTACCATGATAAATTGGGAAAATTCAGGGCTAAGTCTTTGAACTTCCCATGGGTTCCGAAATCGAGATGCAACTTTTAAAATTTTTATAATTTAGTCCTCAATTTTTTCCTTGTTACGATTTTAATTTAATACTTTAGATTAATAAAATTTAACCCCTAACTTGAGTTGTGACAAGACAACTCAGCAGACCCTCTCGGGGATGCTCAAGTCACGGTCCAAGAAGAGATCAGTCGTGAATTCGCTGTTGGAACATTACATGCTAGCGAGGCAGCTGCACTGGCAACTAGGAAAGTGATGTAAAAATACGTACGGACACTTAAATGCTGGTATGCCACAGAGTTAGAGACAGAAAAGTGATTTATTTAGATTCTGCTTGTATGTTGGAAAAATTTGGATTTGGGACTCCCATTAGAAAGGGTGAAATAATTTGTCATACAACTTTGTTTTCAATTTTAGTAGAAAAATCAATCAAAATATTTAAAGGTTTCTAGTGTTTATGTTGATGCCTTTTTGTTCTCTTGTGACACAGTAGCATCTATTTATTACATATAAAATAGGGAAAAACATAAGAGGATGGTACATGTGATGTTCTCAATATTAGACAAATTATAGTTTTGGTCCCTCTATTATAATCTTAATATTTCGTCTTTTAATCTTGGGTAAAGTATATAAATGGTTTCCCGACTATATGACATTATTTTTGTTTAGTTTTTAAACTATTAAAAATTTATAAAATGATTATTCAACTATTCATATGTTCTAAATTTATAAAAAAAAATCTAAAAATTAATAATCATTTGAGTTGAATTTTAATTTGCAGATCAAGAAATGCTAAGTACTTCATTAAACTTTCCAAAAAATGCCAGATATTGCGGTCGATTTCCTTCTACCTGGGAAAATAATTTTTTCAATATCTTATATAAACTATTTTTTCAAACCTTCATCCCATCAATTTTAACCCATGCAAACATTATTAGTACTTCTTGAATTTTAAATAATTACATAGACTGAAATATTTTAGGGTAAAGTACATAAATGGTCCCTTGATTTTAGGATATTGCTTTATTAAGTATGGTCCTCTGACTATAGAGAATTGTTTTGTTGAGTCTCTTGACTATTAAAAGTTACAAATGGTTATCCAATTATTCATTATGTTTCAAACTTATCTTTTTCCGTTAAAAATTTAACGACAGTCTAAGTTGTACGTTAACTTATTGACTTAGCTATGATAGAATCTGATCTCATAATCTCAAACGACTATCATAGCTTAGTCAGCATGTTAACGTCCAACTCAGGTGACCTTTATTTTTTTAACGAAAAAGGATAACTTTGGAACGTAATAAATAGTTGAGTGACCATTTTGTAACTTTTAATAGTCGAGGGACTCAATAAAGTAACTCCCTATAGTCGATGAATCATTTTGTAACTTTTAATAATCATGGGACTCGATAAGACAATATCATATATTAAGGAGATCATTTGTATACTTTACCCAATATTTTATGGTATAACGAATAACTAATGTTTTGTTACTAAATCAAACCATTTTAATCAAAATATTGATCTTAATAAATCAATTGAATTGTCAAAAAATCTGTAAAATACAAAATCAGATTGTGCTAAGTCCCTTAAATAATCGATAGTGATTGTTATCGACATTCACACATTTTTTTAAGAAACTTTGGCCTATAAACACATAAATCAGTTAATTTTAATGTAAATTGGAAAATGACATAAAGGTCATAATGTAGAGTTGATCTTCATTAACTTGTGGTGTTACACTTGAACATTTCAGATCCTTAACATTAATGTATACAATAGTGGCTATGGATTTTTTCTTTCACGTATTCAACCCACCAAACTTCATCTTCTCCATTCCATCACCCGTCATAACTCCAGCACCACAACTGTCCAAAACAATATAAACATTATAAATCATATAAATAAAAATAAATATATGAGAATTTTAAATTTTGAGATCTGTACATGAGTGATTATATATATGTGTGTATGGGAAGAGGCTTACATTCAGAGTCTGTAGTTATCCAATTCCCTCTTCGGGTAGAGCAACGATTCAAGCCGTGTATAACAGTTGAATTCAACGAAACCAAGTTGCAGGCCTCATCGTTTCTTAACGAAGAAGTCATCGAAATCCCAGAAATGGCAGAAGAAACAGCGGAGCAGCTCTGCGCTTCCCATCTAAAACTAATCTTCGGAGACTCACTGGTATTGAGTCGTCGACCATCAACCTGCAAAAAAAAAAAAAAATTGGAAATGCTCTATCATTAATACACTACTCCCTTGGCCACTAAAACAACAAAGATTCAACGAACCCCAAATCTCTTTCCTTCTTTTTTAAGCTTACCTTTTTGCTCAACTTTTTCTCCGATTTGGCCGAAGCAGCCCATCTCAACAACTCCTTCATACGAGAAATGGCTTTGGTTTTGTTTTTTTGGTCTTTCTTCGACGATGACACTGCAACTTGAGCCTCAGTCAGTGGCGACACTTTGCTGGAATCCGATTTCTGACTAACCACCTCCAATCCTTCTTTCTTCATCTTCGTTATGGCCTGGGAATGGGGTTGTTGTTGACGTGTTGTACGACAGCTGTCGACTTTTTTCAAATAGATACTACTGTAAAAGCAAGCCTTTGCAATATCTTTATTGCACAAAAATATAAGAGGCTTAAACTTCTTACTCTTTGATCTTTTCTTCTTATTATTCTTTGACGGGACTATTTCTTTGGGTTTATCTTCTTGATCTGAAAAAAAAAACATAAACAATTAAACTAACATATGTTAATCAATAAATCCAGCCATTACAGCAAGAAAAAGGCAACAGTGGTGTTTTTTAAAGACATGATGCTAACATTAGGCCAACTTTTATTAAAATGGTTATATTGGTTTTTATTTTTTATATCATTTTGACCTTTAATGTTTTGAATCGAGACAAAAATATTCCTTAATGGATGGAAACCGTTAGTTAACAAACGGTTAACGCTCCAGTTAACAAACAATTAACGCTCCAAAATAAGGGCCAAAATGCTCTAGAAAAAAGAATGAGGGTCAAAGTGACCATTCAATCAAATGCTAGGGGTTTTTTTGTACTAAAATAAAAAGTTGGGAGTCAAAATGCTTCAAAAAAAAAGAATATGGGCCAAAAAGATATTTTGATAAACGTTGGAGTCTAATGTTAGCATTATGCCTTTTTTTTAAAAAAAAACTCGTTCAGATAACTGGTTTTGCGTACCTTTAGGAGTGGTATGATTTTGAACTCCTTGTTCATCAGCTGCCTTAAAGAGCCTCTGAAAAATCTGGTATAAATTCATAATGAGGGATTTTATATAAGCTTTTCCAAGACAATGCAACTCGATTATGTTATCTGATTCTGAGTTCAAACCTCACCTGCATGATATTTGTATTTGCTTGTGAACAAAACTGGTAACTTTATATGGTATTGAAAGACAGCAAAATCTTGGTCAAAACAGACAGCTTTCAGAGATCTATCTGGTTCTGTCTGTATGTTTTTACCAAAGATTCTTTGTTATAAAAAATATGAGGCACTTGTGGAGATGAAGACAAAGAAATTTAAGGATCTAGAGGAAGATGGTGAGAGACAACCGAGCAGATAGTGGGCTAGTGTTGGCTGCTTGAGATTTCATAGTAACATGGGGGTCATTATTTATACAAGAAACCAACATATTGGTTCATGGGATGGAGTTTTTTAGTTTTAAAAAAAGTATTAATTAAGAACCGGAATGGGCGCGTTGGCATTTGTCTTTGCCATACACTTGTACGACGACAGTTGACTGACACTTTGCATCAAATTCCTAACATAGACGGAGGGAAGATTCTCAAAATTGATCCTTTGGGATGGAGTTAGATAACGAGACAATAGAAATGTATTTGATTCATATATGGATATATATTAGACACGAAGACATAAAATTTGAACCTTTAGATGAAGGATGATTCTAGGCATATTTTAGGAGTTTAAATGCACACTGGTATGAGAAGCGTTAATGGCGATGGGGGCATAGAGAATGACTGCTTTTTTCTCACATGAAATGAGAGATTGCCACAGAAGCTCACAGTAGTTAGCTGTTTGTGCAAGTATGATGATGATGATAGTAATGCTGTACTAACAAATTTTGAGGTGTGTTGAGCATGTGTCTCAAGTTTTCTCACCTTTCATTCTCACCTTCAGAACTCAGGCGAAACGACGTGTCACTGTGCTGTCCATGGCGATGGATACCCTCGAATAATGTAGAATATGTTTGCTTTGCATGTTGTGAGGTGGAATGTCTGGCCACGTTCCTTCTCAAGTCATGACAAAATTAAAACCATTTCTCTCCAAGGCCTGCGAACTAGCAAGAAACGTTCACGGCTTACTGTCCGGACTTCACCGTTTTAGCTTTTAACTCGGTGTGGTCTCGTTCAAGTTCGACAGCAAAGCACTGCTTTATCGGGGAAACACCATCGTCGGAATATCGGTTCCGTTAGCGAGTGTTGCGTATTACAGAATGAATGCATAACAGAAGGCAGAACATGATCTAAAATGTGTCTGTGTTTCTTTGTTATAGGATACAAAAACAAATTGTATAAAATTACAAGTGAAATTAGTGTGTAAACCGAATGATTGGAGGAGTCATATTACAGATAATGTGGAAGAGTATATATTCTCATTGTTATGGGAATATGTTTCTGGTCGAGAAAATGTTTTTCTTTGAATTGCATGATAATTGTTTTTAACATATGGGAGAATAAATAAACTATGGGTAAAATATAAAAATAGTCCCCAAAATTTTAGGACGCTTGTATTTTGATCACCCAACTTTTCGTCCATTAGATTTTTGCTGACGTGACAGGTAACGCTGGTTAGCCCACCTCCTTCTCCCCCTTTGAAAACCCTAACTTTCAAAAAATAAAACACCCAAAAATCATAATCCCATTCAAAATAAAAAAAACCCAAGATGAATTGAAAATCATAACCCTGATTTATTGCTCATAAGATTAATAGCTTATTTCTCAGGGAAGATGATATGATATATTACCTTGATTAGTTTGTGAAGCTGCCACCAACTTGAATGCTCATTCTGACTGTTGTATGCGGACTTTGCCTGTTGTTCATCGATTTACATATAAACCTCAGTATGATGCGAGAATTTATCAAGAAAGATGGTATTCTTCCATGTAGAATTCTAAAATTCATGTCTTTGTATACTTTTTCTCTGATAACACATGCAGCTGGTTGGGGTACCGTATTCTAAATTTTACCCGATCAGCCATAATAGTGATCGATATGTTCCATTTATAGCTTTAAACATTCTGCACTTTTCAGCATTGCAATCCTGCTTATGGAGTTTTTACACATTTCTTGAGACAACACTTGTCTGTTTATTGTTACTGTGGGTTTTTATGGAGTTATTTAATGATGGTGAGATAGATGAAACGCCAGGACGCCAGGAACACTTGCAGCTACTTTTATCACATTTGGTAAGTGTCCTAAGGGTTTAAGCATCTTCCATCTAATTAGTTTGTCGATATTTTTAACGAATCGTAATCCAAACGTTTCAGTTTTGAACTTAGCATTTGCGCTGAGTATTCTGGGCTTTCTGATTATGCACATAGCATTGGTTGGAGCCAATACCACCACTATTGAGGTAATCTCTTGCCATGTTTCTCGTCGTTGCCGAAGTAATAAGTAAAGGTCTCATAGTTTCGTGTTTTAACTCCAGGCACGTGAAAAGAAAACCAGTCCTAACTGGAGTTACGATGGTTGGAAGAAGAATTTTCAACAGTGTTAATTATCTGATGTTTGTGTGTTTCATAAATCTCTGGGTGTCTTTTCGATTACTTGTCTATCATACGTATAAGATGTTAAGCATTGAATAAATATCGAAAAGAACATGGTGAAGGAAATCCTAAATGCCATGTAACTGCTTGAGCACTAAAAGATCGGATTTTGAACATTTGCCTTTCCGATGAAATTCCTCAAGGTGCTTTGTCTCCTGCTTGACACTTGAACATATCAAAAATTGGAACTGTAGTTGAATATTCATCTTCGGGCCTCGTACACGTTGCTCGACCATACCGTGTTTACTTATGTAGATATATATACTTCCCTTTACTCGTTAGCTTCATTAATCCGCCACTCGTAGCACTGGTCCGACAATGAGAAGGATTTAAGGATGCATAAATGCATATCTCACCATTGCTACAATGGACTATGAAATATGAACATTTGTGCAATAAGTTCATCTATAGTTATGTCCTCGAGAAAATTATAGATTCCAAATGAAAACTTTATCCGAACTGATTCAACTCTTTTTGTGAATTCAGATGTTTGGACTATAGAAAAAGTTCTGGTTCATCCCGGCCAATTCCGAAGAAGATTTAAAATGAAAGACGGCCTTTCGAAGTTTCAAATATCCAACGAGGCCCGACTCGGAGTTTCCCAGCGACATTAACTTGGATTATGATTTTTGGTTTTTATTTTTAATTTTTTGGAGGTTAAGGATTTTGTTAGAAGTAGAAAGTCTGTTATTCTCTGTAACTAATTAGCAGTTAGTTAGTTAGGCTGAATTTGTATATATATTTGTATTGACTTGATACATTTAATTAATAAGAAGTATTATTCATTCCAAATTTTTAAGATGGTATCAGTTTATAGGTTTTTCGTTTTTGGGTCTTCTGTGTGGCCCATCTTTCGCTGAGCACTAAGGCCCACTTTCTTGCTTCCATCGCTTTCTCCCAAATCAGATTCCCATCTTTTGCTAGGGTTCATGGTTTTCCCTATTGATTCCAATCACCCCCTATTTTTGTATCCTTCAGATACGCCTGGTATCCAATTGGTCTCGCATCAACTCACGGGCTACGAAAATTATGTTATCTGGAGTAGATCAATGCGTATTGCGCTCCTCGCCAAGAACAAGCTTGGTTTCGTGGATGGAACCTGTCGAAGAGAGGATTATGACGAACCGTTGCAGCCTCAGTGGGAACGATGCAATGCTCTTGTGCTATCGTGGATCTTGAACTCTGTAAGTCAAGATTTATCAGCTGGGATCGTCTTTGCCTCGAATGTAGCGGATGTTTGGAGAGATCTCAAGGAAAGGTTTGATAAAGTTGACGGTTCTAGAGTTTTTTTTTCTGCATCGTTGGATTGCTACACTTATTCAAGGTGACTCTTCAGTCTCGGTGTATTTTACTCGTCTCAAGCTCTTGTGGGACGAGTACACTGCTCTTGTCCCTTATTCTTTTTGTGAGTGTGAGGCTGCACGACAGAACTCTGATCATGTGGCACATCAACGACTTTTTCAGTTTCTGATGGGTCTTAATGAGACTTACTCTGCCATTCGGAGCCAAATTCTCATTATGAAGCCACTTCCCACTGTTAATCAGGCGTATTCAATGATCATTCAGGAGGAATCTCGCCGGATTCAGCTGAGTAGTGCACCCATCGAATCCTCTGTAATGTTCTCGGCTATTTCTAAAGGGAGTGATAGAAGGCGATTTACTGGCACCTGTGAGTATTGCAAGGTCAAAGGCCATAGTCGTGATCGCTGTTATCGCCTTATTGGTTTTCCGCCGGATTTCAAGTTCAGTCGAAAGAAGACTCCTCAAGCTGCCATGGCAGCTACTTTGGTGCACACTGCTGATGGAGAGACTGCAACTGAATCGATGGTTTCTTCTTCTATTTCGACTGTGCCTGCGTTTACTACTGAGCAATACAATCAAATTCTCAGTTTGTTAAGTAAGAATCCAGCTCCAGATTCCAGTGTGAATCTTGCAGTTACTGTTAATTGTGGTTTACCTACTTCTAATGGCTTGTGCATTCGCTAGATTATTGATACTGGTGCCAATGACAATATTTTATCTGTTTTCAATGGTTTACAATTTCCTGTTTCATGCTCTTCCCCTCGTTATGTTCATCTACCAAATGGCCAAATTGAACTAGTATCACATATAGGTTCTCATAGGTTAAACTCTGATTTAGTTCTTTCTAGTGTCTTGTTTGTTCCTAGCTTCTCTCACAATTTGATCTCTGTCTCTCGGCTTGCTAAAGATCATGCTTGTATTGTTTCTTTCTATCCTGACATTTGCATCTTGCAGGATCTTTGCACTGGCATGATCAAGGGGATTGGTAGAAGATTTAATGGCCTTTATATTTTTTAGTCTAAAGGAGCTACTGGTTTGTTTTCTGATTCTTTAGTTCGTTCTGGGCATGTTGCTTATGCTTGTTCTGTTCCAATTGTTTCCATTTCTAATAAAACTGGTATTTGGCATGCTAGATTTGGGCATGCTTCTGTTTCATCTATGCGCAAATTATCTCCTTATGTTTCTGATAAACTTGATTTAAATATTGTTCATTCTTGTGATATTTATCCTTTAGCAAAACAAACCAGGCTGCCATTTCCTATTAGTCTTACCAGATCATCAACACCTTTTGAATTAATTCAAATAGACTTATAGGGTCCTTATAGGATTTCCACTCATAGTGGTCACAGATACTTTATGACTATTGTTGATGTTGCACCAGAATGACTTGGGTTTACCTCTTGAGAGTTAACAATGATGTTGTTTTGTTCATTAAACAATTTATCTCCTTTGCTTCTACTCAGTTTTCTTCTGTCACTAAGATTGTTAGAAGTGACAATGGTACATAATTTTCCAACTCTCATTGTACTCCTTTTTTCTCAACTCTTGGTGTTTTACATCAAAGTTCCTGTGTTCAAACTCCACAACAAAATGGAATTGCAGAAAGAAAGCATAAGCATCTTTTAGAAGTAGCTAGAGCTTTACGTTTTCAATCAAAAGTGCCAATTAAATTTTGGGGTGAATGTGTTTTAACAGCCTGTTTCATCATAAACTGACTTCCTTCTTCTGTTTTACAGTGGAAAACTCCTTATGAAATGCTTTATCACAATCCCCTTGATTTGTCCATTCTTAGAGTTTTTGGTTGCCTGTGTTATGCCACTAATGTCAAACAAAATGATAAATTTGCCCCTAGAGCCTTACCTTCTGTTCTAATGGGATACTCTAATACTCAAAAAGGGTATATCTTGATTGATCTTACTTCTAAAAAATTCTTTGTTAATTGGGATGTTGTTTTTCATGAGCAGATATTTCCATTTCATTTTCCCACTCAAACAGAGTCTTTTTTCCGTCCACTCCTTTCATTCCTGATTCTGAGTTTTTGGTTCTTTCTTTTGGTCAACAAACTACTCATACTGTCCCTTCTGATTCTGCTCCTTATTCTACATCTGACACTGGGCAATCATCACAACAATTAGCATCTTCAATAGATTCAGTAGTTCCAGTTTTGGTTAGAAAGTCTACTAGGATTTCTAAATAACCCCAATGGTTGAATGATTTTGTTTGCAATTCTATTTCAACTTCTACCAATCCTATTTCGAATTTTGTTTCTTATGTTCATCTTCCTGCTGCTACACAATCCTTCATTTCCTCTATTTCACATCCTGTTGAGCCTCACTCCTATCATGAGGCCATTCATTATCCTGAATGGGTAAAAGCTATGAAGGATGAAATTTTTGCCCTTGAAACAAATAAAACTTGGTCAGTTGTTCCTTTACCCAAGGGAAAAGTTCCTATTGGATACAAATGGGTTTATAGAGTTAAGTACAATGCTGCTGGTGCTATAGAGAGATTTAAAGCTCGATTGGTGGCCAAGGGTTATAGTCAAAGAGAGGGTGTGGATTATGTGGATACCTTCTCACTAGTGGTCAAATTGGTTACTGTTCGATTTCTTCTCGCCATAGCTTCTGTTTATGATTGGCATTTGTTTCAACTTGATGTATATAATGCCTTCTTGCAAGGTGATTTGTTTGAGGAGGTATATATGGAACTTCCACCTGGTTTTTGCAGTCAGGGGGAGAATAAGGTGTGTAGACTGCAAAAATATCTTTATGGGTTAAAATAAGCATCCAGACAATGGAATTTGAAGCTAACTGAGGCTCTTTTAGGGGCTGGTTATGAACAAAGTAAGTTTGATTATTCTTTGTTCACAATGAAGAAGGATGACAAGATTGTAGTTTTGTTGATCTATGTTGATGATTTGTTGATCACTGGAAATGATAATTGTTTGATTGATGACTTAAAAAATCTTCTGAACAAGAAATTTAAGATGAAGGACCTCGGTGAGTTAAACTATTTTTTGGGTCTCGAGGTTATGAGATCAAAAGAAGGAATTTTAATCAATCAGTGCAAGTATGCCCTTGAATTGATTGAGGAAACAGGTGTACGCGGCTCAAAACCAGCAAAGACACCTCTTGAGCAAAATGCAAGGCTCACCACAACATAATATGATGAGTTAAGCACTAAAGGGAGTAATGGAGTTGATGACAAGTTGCTAGTAGACAAGAGTGTTTTTCAAAGGCTCATTGGAAGGCTAATTTACCTCACACATACCAGACCATATATATGCTTTGCTGTACATCACTTAAGTCAGTTCATGCAACAACCAAGAGAATCTCATTTGCAATCAGCATTGAGGATAGTGAGGTATATCAAAAGGAATCCTGGTCAAGGAATTCTGATGGATTCAAGTAGCAGATGTGAACTTAAGGCATTTTGTGATTCAGACTGGGCAGCATGTCTTAATTCAAGGAAGTCTGTTTCTGGTTTCTGCATCAAGCTTGGGAGTTCATTGATTTCATGGAAATCTAAGAAGAAAAATACTGTAGCCATATCTTCTGCTGAAGCAGAGTACAGAAGCATGGCAACTACTGCAGCAGAACTGACTTGGTTGAATGGCTTAGCTAATGAGCTTGGGTTAGAAAAGAAATGTCCAATCAAGTTGTATTGTGATAACAAGGCTGCTCTTCAGATTGCAGTGAATCCAGTGTATCATGAACGCACAAAGAACATAGAAATTGATTGCCACTTTGTGAGAGAAAAGATACAAGAGGGACTCATCAAAACAGAATTTGTGCATTCTTCAGAACAATTGGCTGATTTTTTTACTAAGGCCTTAGGAGTACAACAACATGAATATCTTGTATCCAAGTTGGGGGTAAATGATGTCTTCTACCCACCAACTTGAGGGGGAGTGTTAGAAGTAGAAAGTTTGTTATTCTCTGTAACTAATTAGCAGTTAGTTAGTTAGTTAGGCTAAATTTGTATATATATTTGTTTTGACTTGATACATTTAATTAATAAGATGTATTATTCATTCCAAAATTTTAACAGATTTCAAAGGTAGAAGAAGGAGGAGGAGAGGGTGGGTTAGCGGGCGTTACCTGCCACATTAGCAAAAATCTAATAGAGGTAACGACAGGGACAGAACTGAAAACAAACTAAAAGTTCGATGACTATATTACAAGTTTTAAAAGTTGGGTAATTAAATTTCAAGCGTCCTAAAAGTTAGGCGACTATTTTTATATTTTACCCATGAACTATTTGCTATGCGGACGAGAATATATTCTTTCCGTGCGAGAAAGCTAGCCCATCTAACTCTTCATTGCTGCAAAACAGACGAGTTGATACTTTTCTTTTTTAAACAATGAGGCGTTTTTTTGAGATATGATATATTTTTAAAAGCGGTAAATAAGAGTTTTCAAATAAAAAATTTAACATAATCACCCTTATTTTTTTTCATACTTCCATTCATTAAGTTGACATCATTTAACTCATTATATCAAACTCAATCAATAGATACAAGGTAAAAATAACAAAAGTCAAAATTTCCAACAAATTTTAACATATGAAATAAGAGGCCAGGGTTATGAATTGAAATAAGAAATAAAAACGAATTAATGGCAAAAAACAAGAAGAAGAATTCAATTGTATGCATACATAGACACGCTACTTTCAACAAAAATCAGGAATAGTAAACCAGTCGGAAAGATGGATTAATGCTTTCTTTCGGGCCCTACTACTATGACCCGAATTTACTCTCTTACAAAAAGAATAAACAAATGAAGATATCAACAAATGTCGAAAAGGGGGAAAACTTTTGGGTATCCATGACCAAACTCTACTTATGCACGTGCTCCGATATATGTAGCTTTACAGGTGTACCTAATAACAAAATCGGTGCTAGCGTATAATGATGAGTCGTACCGTAACACTTAGGGGGCCATCTGTTTCGCCCGATTATTACCTCCCTTTGGCTTAAGCGACATAGACAGAGACATAGATCGCAGCCTCTTTGTTATCTCGGTAAATGATGGCCTAGATTCTGGATCAGGAGACCAGCACTGTTCCATTAGCTTCCTCCAATCAGGATAGCAACATTCTGGAATAGCTGGTCGAAGCGTGTTCTTCACGATCCCTCTTGCAACCTTAATTCAGTAATCAGACCCAAAGCCATAATTTGGTGATAAGCAGAAGGTTCTTGTTTAGCTTTCAAACAGAGTTTGGCATAGTGTATGCAGTGTTTGATACGGCTTAAATTTATATATGAGTTGTTTAGGATGTTGTTTTATACTATTACACGGCAAGAGCAAATGAGAAAATATCTTATACCCTAAAACTCAGCATAAACTTTTCGTGATCTTCATCTTCAACAGAACAACATTTGATTGATCATCAATATCATCATTATTAACTCCTCAGTAAAATTCCAGAGAAGCCTTAGTATATTAGTTTCTTCTAGCCTCGGTCTTGATTTTTGTAACTTTCGAAATTGTTGACCTAATATAAATAAAAGAAAAAAAAAACTCATATAGAGAAAAAAAGAGGGGAAATCACATGCAAATCCTAATACTCCACAGACCATATACACCAGAAGAAGATACCAATGAACCAGTTTAGAAAACGTCTGCCCTTCACAGTGGAACTAATATCACGCCAGAACATGTCGATCACTTCTCCATGCATGTATATTTTCCATTCACAATCAGGGTCAGTAGCACATTGGTAAATCAAAATCTTACCAATAATGGCACCACAATGCATATCGGCATATGGCTCCTCTCCGGTCAAGATATCCCACATTGAAATTCCAAATGAGAACACATCAACCTGTCAGATTAAATATCATAAACTTTGGCTTTAATGTGTACTCATTCTTCCCTTCACAGTGGCAAGACATATACTTGAATATGGATTGACTGACCTTTTCAGAAACCTTGGTGCTGCTACCATTTAGCAGTTCTGGCACCATCCATGGCAGGGTTCCTCGCACACCTCCAGAAACTAGAGTGCTGCGAATGATTCTTGATAATCCAAAATCTCCAATCTGCAGAAACAACACACGCTAGCCATACTTCAACTTTGGAGCCAATGAAAACCTTTCAGCGACATAAGCAGTCCTACTTCCTAAAATGATAAGTTATGAGGGGAACGTGAAGGTTTAAGGTTATTCTATATTTCTACTTTCTATACATATGATCACCTCTCATCTTGGGCCAAAAATAATTTTGGTGTTAACCAGATTTAAGAATTTTTCTTTCCGGTCATTTATGGTATATAATATCATGCGAGACACCTTGAAATCATAATGCCCACAAGAACGGTGTTTGTCTTCAACAGATTGAGTACCTTGCATATGGGTTGTTGGTCCCTTAGATTGACGAGCAAATTGTCACATTTCAGATCAAAATGAACAATGTTTTTGGAATGCAAGTATTCCATGCCAAAAGCAGCACCCATGGCAATTATGAGCCTTTTGTGAAGATCATGTAATCAGCATAAGAATTACAAAAAGGCCAGTAAGTGCATTATTAATGAGTGAAGGAAGATAAAATTGAGAGATAAAATCAATATTACCTTTCCTTCTTGATTAGGACATTCCTAAGTGATCCATTTACCATATATTCAGTTAAAGTTGCCAATGTTCCTCCGCTTCCATCGGGTACTACTCCATAAAATGCGACCACATTTGGATGATGCAGATTTGAGAGGATCTGTGCTTCTCTCCAAAAGTCTTGAATCTGGTACAGCCAAACATTTATCAGCTTTGGGTATGCAAATACCTCAAACTGATATGAAGAACATTACTAAAAAATTGGTTGAAAGATCTAAAAACTACAAAATGTCCAGAGGACTCAAATCTCTCTGTATATTTTCAGTTGTCTCTTTCAAATTTAAGTCAGTTACCCTAATATTGCTCAATCAACCGCAAATCCCGCCCTGGAGGATAAAAAAGAAAGCCATCTTCTACTTTCCTCCCAAGACTATTTAAAATTTGAAGCAATGATGAAAAAAAAACAGGTTAATCTTTCTTGATAAAAACATGTGGTTAGCAGAACAGTTTAAATATCATAATTCATGGCTAATCTTCTTTGTAATAAATATCATAGCTGCTAAAAACAACTTCAACTCAAGAACTGACAAGCTTATGAAAATGAAAAAAGCATATTACAAATCTCCAATTGCAATAAGAACAGAACAGAATTCAAGAAAGGAAGGCTGAAAATAGACCAATAGGAAGAAGAGTAAGGTTACACCACATGAATTTGACTTCCACCATGAGATAATAAAAATACTAATATTTCGGACAGCCAAGAATGCAAGTGCACTACCCAAGCTATCTAACCAGAAAATATTCCAGTTTTTCCCCTTTAGAATTTCCGACAGCCCAAATTTGTAGAACAGAAGAACTAGCACAAATGGAAACACAACAAAATTGCTTCAAGATGAACTGATATAGTATTTACTGCATACATATATCCTCAAATCTGAACCCTAAATCATTATGAAGCTTCTTATGAGTTTCAATAACAGCTCTCCTACGTTTAAGATCACAAACTGTAAAGACAAGGGGAAAAAGGAAAGAAAAATATCTCTGGGGACCAACCTGTCGGTCTCTTTCTGATGATCTCCCAGAAAAGCAACTCTTTTTTATTCTCTTTATAGCAACATCTGTTCCCCGCCATTTTCCATGATAAACAGTTCCGTATGTACCAGATCCTAGCTCCTTCAGATCTTCGAGATCAGCATCTTTTATAATCTGCACACCAGAATCAAAAAAGTTTAAATTTCCTTCAGAAGCTAATTTTACAACCGATGATTAAAGCCAAATGGGGGAGGGACTAACAAGGGGTAGATAATTTGTTCAAATAAAACAAAAATAATGTTTTCTCAACTAACAAACAGGGGAACTCAATATTTGCGGTTGAAAATTTAATGGTAAATATTTCACCAAACTAGACTGCATGAACTGGTCATCTATTATACAAGAAGATTTTATTGAAAACAGATATAAATCAGTTCGATATGGAACCTGCAAGCCATAGATGCTGGCTTCCATTTCAGCTATCTTGGCATCACTGAAGGGATCATCCTTGTCTTTATCATCAGCTGCAGCAGCCTATGGACAAAACCATTAAGCTACCTAAGTTAATTAGCATCTAAACAAGTTAGTTGTACATGACCTTTAACTCGTCTTACCTTAGACTCAGGTTCTGGAATAATATCCACCAACTCTGTAGCAATAGGAGATACATTATCATTGTCAGTCACATCCACAGGTGGGACAATTGCAGATGAAACTTCAATCCCAGAAGGCACACTTGTGATCACATCATCCAAATTAACTAAGGGGTCTGGCTGGATTTGATATCGATTCACACTTGAGGTTTCTGTCTGGCCAAATGTAAACTCTACTACAATTGAATTTTCATGCACAGATCCTGTAGCAACCATCTTCCCAGCATTCTGATTGGGCTAATTAAGGTCATCATCAATGAGAGAAACCTCTCTCCTATAAGAGGCATCCTTTTCTGGATTCTGTAACATAGAATGAAGGTCATTCTTGTGTAAGTTCGAGCTCAGACCAGATTCAACATGAACCACAGATAGGTGCACAATGGTTGAGCTAGTCAGCATATCTTCTTTAGATCCTTTAGACTTGCTACACACTCCAGTTGTTGTGGTTCAAGCAACATGGGGCCATTCAATGACACAGATATAAGATCACCCATTGAGCTCTCACCGCTTAAGTTTTCCATGGTCTTGGGAAATATGCATGTGACTTTAGGTTTGTCAGTGCATGAAGTAATGCTCCCTTGTCCAGAAGTTACTTTCCCACTGAAATCATAACATTCAATTGTACCATATGTGGTTTTTTCCAAGGTCTGTGGATGCTCTATGTTATCCATTATATCCAAGGATGATAGGCTGGGAGACCTGTGAATCTTCTTTCCTGGTATCAATACCAAAAGTATGATTGCGGTCTGCGTTAGACAATTTGTCGTTGTATACCATATTGCTTTCAGGGGATCTCCACGATCTCCACTCATAAAGCTTTCCACCTTGATGCAAAATTGGATCAACTTTACCAGACCTGTTACTGGTATCCAAACTAGTAGCATATTCATCATAATTATTAGGTGTCGTGACAATGGTTTTACTCGAATTAATTTTAGCTGTTTGTCACTTGTCATTGCTATCACCAGCACCATTAAGAATAGTTTTATTCCAGCATGAAGCTTCAGGATTTGGAGAAAATATCAGCAATTCCAGTGTTGACTCCAATTTAGAATCACTATCTAACAAATCATTTTGTGCCCTGGACTTCAATAGACCAATATTATCTTGTTGTTGCATCAACCTTTCCTGCACTAAATTTGAAGGTGATCGAGTAGTTGCAAAATTTAAAGGGGGAGATGAGCTAGTTCCTTCTTGTGAACAGTAATCGGACCTTCCTCACAACTCCAGCATCTTTGTATCTGAAAATGCATGTATCATGCCTGGGTGAGAGTCAATGGGATCAAAAGATGATGCCAACAGACTCAATGGGTCAGCAGCAAGTGAGATAGGCCTTTCATGTGACACACCATAACAAACACTATTATTTTTAGTTGAAACTGAGAGAGAGGATTTTTGCTGGGATCAGGTTTTGTATTTGTAACTGAACTTTATGTGCTTGGAAGGCTTGACCGGCATCAACATTTACGTAGGGGTGATTATAATTCATCAAAGCAGGTGGAAGCTGTTGAACTTGCTTATATAGTTAGGATTTTCTATACCACAGTTCTCAGGATTTAATTGAGCTGTAATGAAGGAACTGTTGCTTTCGTTGATGGAGTTACCACCAACTGCTTGTGCACAAACACTTAGAATCTCCATGCTGGAAAGGTTGCGGAGAAATAGGAGGAGATACAAATGGGGATCCGGTTGTATATTGGGAATCATGGAAAACTTGAGATGGATGGAAGGCATTAAGACAGCCTATAGTCTCCAAAGGGAGTATTGAAGTTGGACAGCGTTTTCGAAAACTAGGGTTATGATCCAAAGCAAGTCCTAGTTGATTTCCTTTGCTGGGTAAACACTGCCCACCAGAATTTTTCATAGAACTATGATCTACTACCCCAATGACAGCTGCCATGTAATGGTAATCAGGATTGTTCTGCTGAATGGTGCTAGCCTCAAGGGAAGATGCACTTTCAGACTCCCCCAAGGGAATAAAAAATATCCTCAGCCATTGAGAACCCACAAGCTTTTCAAGCCCGTTATACTCCTCTATCATATTCTGAAGGTCTTCATCAGAAGAAACAGATATAAGGGCATTAAGATCCTCACCTGGAAGTTGGTACTTGATTGCATGAGGCTGGTTGAAAACATCTAGCGTTTTCCTCACAAGCTCATCCCAAGAAAGACATTTCTGAAAGGTAATAATCCGTGTCTCTCCCCCAACATATCTGAGTTTGCCACACTTGGCCTGGGCAATATTTTTCCACCAAGTTACAGAGAAGTTTCATTTTCTCAGATTGTGATCCTTCAGAAGCTCCCTGCCCACTTAAGTTGCTGGACCTAGGAAAGTCACATGCATAAGTGGGTGTGGTAGCTGGTGCAAAAACATTAAGATCGCTCCTATCACAGCCGAAAACCTTCCTTTCCACTTGTCCCATATCACCATCTTCCTTCTGGTAATTAATTTTTCAACACAAGACCCATTTTCACTCCCTCTACAAGACCCATGCACAGAAGCAACATCAGAAATATCAGAAACACACTCAGAATCCATTCTTTTCAACCCAAGAATTTGGGTTAGGTCTTCATACACCAGCTGTTGGTTCTGGTTCTGATTGATCCCAACTCTTGTCTCATATATCTGAGCAGCGTCTGGTATAGCAGGAATCCCTCTTGTTCCAACAAACTCCTTAAGAAACTCCATGGCGAATTCCTCACTTGTATGTACAGAGATATTATTATTATGTACATTTTTTCTTGTACAAGGAGCGACAGATGCATATTCTTGCTGAACCAATTGATTAAATGAGATAGGCGCCTCCCTGATCATGTTCCACAAACAAGCTCCTGTGTCTATTTACTTGCATAAACAATGTCTTAGCTCCGTGAGCCACTCTTTTCCACTTAAACCCACCAATTGATAATTCATAATCACACAATTCTCATATCAACTAAAACTCAGAACCTCTCAATCAAAATATACTACTCCCCTATGAATACAAAGGCTACCTCAATCAAATCCAACACTTATGTAACACTGCTTCCACTTTTACAAAAAAAAAAATATGTAGGTACAATTTATTCACAAGATATTAGCATATCTCGATCCAAAGCCAAATTTTAGCTACAATTCTAAGCATACAAATGCCTCTCTTCTACAGATTCCAGAATCAATTAGATCACCTTAGATCCAAACGAAGAATACGCAAACCAATCTAAAAAGAAAAACAAAAGAATCAAATCTTATTTCTCATTATCGTCGCTCAGGATAATGTACACCGAAACCTAGAAAAGGAAAAGAAAAACAAATATATAAAAAAATACATAATCAGCAAAGCCTCAAACCATGTCGATCAAAATTTCAAAATAAAGACGAAATCAGACAAAATTAAGGAAGAAAAACAGTACCTGAATATTGATCTGCTTTATAAAATCCATGTGTATGAGTCCTTGATCCGACAATCTTTTTAGATTGGAGCGAGAGAGGCAAACATAAACAACATGCAAAAGGGAAAAAAGAGGAAAAAGAAGGAAAAAATGAAAAAAAATTGATAAAGACGAGAATTGGAAATGGCGGAGAAGAGAGCAAGGCTTACGGCTGCAGCTGGTGACAATCTCGATTCTCGAGCCTGCGAGACTAGTTATTATTAAAATAAATAAATACTGATTGCTTAAAAATTATTTTCTTTTAACCCTTTTCAGTTGTAACTGTAACGATTTTCTTCTACAATTAAATATTATTTTTATATCCGACGTGGATTTATGGAATTCGGATTTTGGGAAAGTTTGCTTTCCTTTCGCACTCAGTCGATCGCCCTCCCAAATCATTTGAATATATTCTTTCCTTATGGACTTTCGAACATGCTTTTTCATGGTTTGATTACTTTGTTATATAATATATATTATTTAACTTGAAAATAGTAATGTGTGATTATATAATATATATGTTGGGATTTGACATTGATGGATACATTATTTTGTAATAAATTTTTAAGTTAAATTATGTATTATCAAATTATTTTTATGATTTTGTATTTGTTATTCAATCATTTTTAAATAATATCTCAAATTATATTTTAGTCACAAGTCATTAAAAAATAACAGTGATTTTGATGTGTCATCATAAGATAATGTCACATTATTAAAAAATCGTAATGTTAACAATTATGTTTATTTTTTAACATCCTGTAGACACATGTTTGATCCGGGTTTTAATTTATTATTATTATTATTATTAACATATTCTAAATTTATTTATATTTTTTCAGGCCCAAATTACAAGGCTGGCCCAAGAGTAGGCTCAATACCACTGAACCCTAAGGGCCTATCATATTACAAGTTTTAGTTAACCCTAATTTTAGGGTTAGCCACCTACTGCCTCCAGGGAGAAGGAAAGTCACGTCGCTGCTAGTGAAGGGAGTTGCTATTGTCACCGTCATGCATCCGTCCGACTTTTCACCGCTTGTACTGGTTCCAGGCCGCCGCTGTTCTAACATAACAAATCAAATCAAAATAAATCACAACCAAATCCAATAAAATAAAACCTAATCAACCAATCTTAGAAAATCTAGGACATCCCCACTGTGAAATCATCATCCCTCTGCCTCCTTCACCGTTGAACTATATTTTGATATAACAATTTAAGGCAAAATGTTTTTGGACTTGAATTGAATTTATTCAAAGTTTTAAAAAATAATTCAAAGTCATTAAATCTTGGAATTGAGCACAAAATGTTTTTCTATACAAGTAGTATCGATACTGTTCTTACAGTGTCGATACCTCATGAAAGGTACCGATATTGTTTATATGGTACTGATACCAAAGGTAAGGGAAGTATCGATACTCATTAGGTAGTACCGATACTACCAGCTTTGTTCAAATTCCAAAAAACAAAAATGGTACTGATACCCAAAGGGGTACCGATACTACTATATATAGTAGTATCGATACCATAGGCATAGTATCGATATCATATGCATAGTATCGATACCATAGGCATAGTATCGATACCATCAGGCCCCAACAACTATTAACGGTTAGTTGATTTAAATATAAACAAAGGTAGTACCAATACTCCCTTTAGAAGTATCGATACCCCTTGGTCTGGGCAACATTATTTTGCACGAAAATTGATCCCCAATGGCTCCAAACTACCTCCAACGGCTAGAAACAACCACAACAACATTTCAACACATAAATACAAGTTGTGGACACTTAAAGAAGGGTTAGAACACGTACCAAGCAATCAAACACAAGAGAAGTGCTTTTAACTCTTTATTTCAATTCTCTTGTAAATATTTTGTTCTTGTGAGCTTTTAATTTGTAAACACCTTCCTTTTTAGAGGTTTTCTTGTTTATATTTATTTTCCTTTTGTAAAGGGTTTTTGGTTCTATCTTAGCCAACTGAAAAGATAGGGAGCTGTAAAGGTTATCTCTTTGTCCTTGAAAAAGAAAGAACAAATTAGTGAATTTGTTAGAAAATCCTTAGTGAGGAGCTAAGGTAGTGGATGTAGACTTGGTTGATAAGTCGAATCATTTTAAATCCTTGTGCCAAATTGTCTTATCTTTTTGTTCTCCTTACTCCCTAAATTTAATTCTATCAATTAAACCCCTTTGCACTTTTTCGATTGTTAATTAAGCCTCTTCATAAATCCCAACAATTGATATCAGAGCTTGACTCATTAGAAGGTTTAATAACCTTGATACGATCCTTTAAGAAGCTCTATCGATTCCCAAAGCAACCAAGAAGTTGGCTTCCACCTCCGGCTCGTTCAACATGGAAGACTCCCAATCGATCAACAAGCCTCCATACTTCAATGGAGCCAACTACCGTCATTGGAAGAAATTAATAAAGCTATTTATCCAATCCAATGATCTTGATACATGGGAGATGATTGAAAATGACTACTCTTCTCAAAAGAAGAAGAAGAAGGAGTGGAGTGCCCAAGAATGAAAGAAAGCTCAACTTAATGCCAAAGCCATGCACATGTTGTTTTATGCATTTGGTCCCGAAGCTAACGAAGGAGTTTCTTCTTGTTCAAGTGCCAATGAGCTTTGGAATAAGCTCAAAAAGCTTCAAGGAAACAATAAAGAAGAACCAACAAATGTGGTGTCCTTAATGGCTCGTGAAGAGCCCGAGGTATCTTCTAACTCAAATGGATTAAATTCATATTCTTTTAATGAGTTGCAAGATGCATATGATGAATTATTTTTGGAGTTTGAGACCATGAACTCCAAATACAAGAAATTAATTTCTAAATTTAAAGTTGAAAATGATTTTCTTTTGAAAGATAAAATGGATTTTGAAAACCAAAATGAAATTTTGAAAAAAGGATTTAGAGCTTTCAAAAATGAAAATTGAAAGTTTTGAAAAAATGTTTTGATTTAAAAGATAAGTTTGAATGCTTAACAAAAGAAAAAGAAATCATATTAAATAATTCATATAGTTCCGTAATGACAAAATGCTCACATTATCATTATCATGTTCACAAGGAACATACTTGTCCTTTGAAGAAATGAAAACATTTTAAAATTAGACAAGTATGGGTTACCAAAGGAACAAGGGGCATTGAAACTAAACGTTCAAGGATCTAAAGCAATTTGGATACCAAAATCCAAATAAATGTCTCTTGTAGGTGTGTGGGAGCAATGGTGATGAAGATGAAGATATTCAAATGCTCTAGCCACACTTGAAAAGAATGAGTAACCTCTAAGCTTAATGCTTTTGATTTTGATTATTTGGTTGCTCATTTAGTTTTTAAGCATGCATGAGTTTTGATTTTAAATGATTATGTATTGTTTTTAATCTCATGTATGTTGAAAAAGTTTTATGATTAATATTTTAAATTTTTAATGATTTTTCATAATTTTTAGTTCATCATAATGAATTTTGGTCAAAATTGATTTTCAATGCAACTGATATCTCTCTAACAATTGATATCAAAATTTTCAAATGATTTGATTTTACAAATTTTATTTTTTTGACCTAAATTTAAATGTTTATGCATGTGTTTTAAAATGTTAAAGATATCTCTCTAACAATTGATATCAAATTCTTCAAATGCATAACATTTTTGAAAACTTTATGCACATGTACTTAATTTCAATAATTGGATATTGCATAAAGTATTTTAGACTTGGATATATTGAATTTCATGTGTTACTAACATTTTGTTACTCTTTGTTGAAATTCAATTTTGTTTAAGTGTCAAGCTTTTAAAGCTAATTTTGTTTGGAATGTACTTTTTGAGGGGGAGCTTTGATTTTTCAAATGCTTTTAATGTCAAATTTACCATTTACTCTCCAAAGTGATTTTAGAACTTTAAAGTTGGATTCTTTTTTATTTAACAAAAAAGGGGGAGAAGTATGGGTTTGAAAAATTCAATTTCTTAATGAAAAAGGGGGAGTTGTATATTTTCACATATTTTTCCAACAATTGGTACATTTTTCATTAAACATTTGATTAAGGGGGAGTTTTGCCAAAAACAATTTTTCAAATGTTTTCTTATATCAAAAAGGGGGAGATTGTTGAACTATATTTTGATATAGCAATTTATGTTTTTGCACTTGAATTAAATTTATTCAAAGTTTTCAAAAACAATTCAAAGTCCTTAAAGCTTGAAATTGAGCACAAAACATTTTTCTGTACAAGTGATATTGTTCTTACAATATTGATACCTCATGAACAATACCGATACTATTCATATGACTGATACCAAAGGTAAGGGAAGTATCGCCAGAATGCAAAAATGGTACCGATACCCAAAGGGGTACCAATACTACTATGTATAGTAGTATCAATACCATATGCATAGTATCGATACCATCAGGCCCTAACGGCTAGTTGATTTAAATATACACAAAGGTAGTACCAATACTCCCTTTAGGAGTACCAATACCTCTTGGTCTGGGCAGCTTTATTTTGCACGAAAATTAATCCCCAATGGCTCCAAACCACATCCAACGGCTAGAAACGGCCACAATAACATTCCAACATATAAATACAAGTTGAAGACACTTGAATAAGGGTTAGAACACCTATCCAAGCAATCAAACACAAGAGAAGTGATTTTCACTCTTTATTCTAATTCTCTTGTAAATATTTTGTTCTTATGATCTTTTAATTTGTAAACACCTTCCTTTTTAGAAATTTTCTTGTTTATATTTCTTTTCCTTTTGTAAAGGGTTTTTGGTTCTATCTTATCCAATTGAAAAGATAGGGAGTTGTAAAGGTTATCTCTTTATCCTTGAAAAAGAAAGAACAAATTAGTGAATTTGTTAGAAAATCCTTAGTGAGGAGCTAAGGTAGTGGATGTAGACTTGGTTGATAAGTCGAACAACTTTAAATCCTTGTGCTAAATTGTCTTATCTTTTTGTTCTCCTTACTCCCTAAATTCAATTCTATCAATTAAACCCATTTGCACTTTTTTTGTTGCGAATTGAGCCTCTTCATAAATCCCAACATTCACCAAATATTTCACTCAACACACAAGGACCTTTATATGTGTATGTGTATCAACCGAAAGAAAAAAGGGGATTAGGAAAAGGGAGAAAAAATAACAAAAAAAGAGATCTAAGAGAAAAAATAAATAGAACGAAAAAAAGAAGTGAGGGCCTTATA